TCTAATTGTATGAGCATCATTGTGACGAACAGACTGAGAGATGCCCTCCCCCACCCAAATGATTTACCAACGCGTAGAGTCCACACTACTGTGTAATCCCCTCACACTGAGGGCACGCAGTATATGTGAATTGCTTCTAGGCGACAGAATGTGACACTTCTATGGGGGACATAGGGACGTCACTCCTTTGGTGATTTATTATATATAAAACTTCATATATAAGGCTTTATCATTGCAGACTGCAGTGGAAGATTATCCTTGTTGGTTTGATGAAGCAGCTATGTTGAGGAAGTCCTTGTGGCCAGAAACTGAATAGAGCCACAAGGAACTATGAGTGGTCTCTGGGACCTGAAGGTGGCTTTTAGCCGTAGCCAGCGAACAGCTGGAGCCCTCAGTCATTCAAACCTAAAGGAATCTCTTCTTCCAATAACTTGGATGAGTAGAAGCAGATTCTTTCCCAGGCCAGTGCCTAATGAAACTCAGCCCAGCCAATATCTTGACAGAAATCTCTGAGACACCAAGCAGAGGATCTAGCCACACTATGCCAAGACTCCCAACCCAGAAACTGTGGGATGATAATGGTGTGTGTTATTTTAAGCCACAGAATTTGGGGTAATTGGTTATATATGTGGTAATATAGAACAACTGATGTAGTCATGATTTTACTTTTTGTTTTTAGTTATTCTTCAATAATGTGAATTAGTGGAGTTAAGTTGTAGTTGCCACTGTATAAGTACTTAAAAGGAACAGAAAATATATGGTAGCTCAATTATTTCTGCACTGCAAACCAAACGTGTTGAGGTTGCATGATTGTTCCTGTTCTACTAAGAAGGTAACTGACAAGACCAGAATTAGGAACCACAGGCATATGTGGCTGCACCAAGCAGTGAGTGACAAAGTTGAGGTAGATCGTAGCAATTCTGAGAAGAACTTTTCAAAATAAAGGAGTTGTTTTCTTTTTCAACTTGTGGTTGAAAAATATATATCCTGGGCCAGGAAGGAGGAGAGCCATAATCAATTGGTCATATCATATACAGGCTTTAGCAAAAATAGAGGAGAAACTGCTGAAGGCTAAAGTAACTCATAAATTGTAATCTTCTTCTGGGAATATCAAGGACCCAGTGCTTTCCTTACTCACTTTCAGCTTTCCATTTAAGAGAAGGTATACAAAACACATGGAAGAAAAGACAGATATATTTTATAAGTTAGTACCTCGGATTTTGTTCCATAAAAGGATTGTTGTTGTATATTCAAATTAACTAATTATGTTTTTGTAGCATTTAAAATAGAGTAACAAATATTAGATAATAAAACATTTTTGAAATAAAATATATGCAATATAAAATTATTACCTCTAAAATAGGATTTCATTTCTTTCAACATGAGGAAGATATATAAAAGTTGTGGGGAAAAAAATACTAATTGATTGACTTCAGTGAGAGAGAGTAAATGGAATTTGACTTATTCTCTCAATAGGTCATTAGAAAACCTGTAAAGCAGAATATGGGGGAATTAAAACTAAAGCATATTATCTAAATCACTAGGTGAAGTTGATAAGGCTTTATCTCTACTTTAATAATTCCATGATTCATAAAATCTCCCTAGCATGGCATCAAGCTTTTGTGTCATTGACTTTTTTAAAAAATATTTTATTTATTTATTAGAGAGAGAGAGCATAGAGGGACAACATGAGAGAGAAACAGGCTCCACGCTGAGCAGGGAGCCAGATCCAGGGCTCGATTCCAGGACCCTGAGACCATGACCTGAGCCAAAGGCAGACGCTTAACCAAGACTGAGCTACCCAGGTGGTCCTGTGGCATTGACTTTTAAAAAGTCTCTAAGGTTGGTATGGTTTCAGAGGACAATAAACATTAAATGTAAGAAAGCTGTGAGAAATAGTTATGGGTATTAAAATAATCTGTTGGAAAGACAAAGGGAGAAAACTGAAGTTTAGAGAAACAAAGCTTAGAGACTTAAATTATCCAAGAAATGGAACATTTTCTTTTCTAGCAGACATGTGGTTCACTTCAATTATTTTTTAACATTTTGTCTCCTTATAATGAATATTAAATCTTTATAGTAGAACATCTTTGCAAATTTACCAAATAAATATTCAGGAATAAATATGCTAACATATTATTTGTTTTTGTGTGTTTTTATACATGTATAGGTTTTTCACTTATAATATCAATACAGACTTTTTAAACATAAAATAATTAACATAAGTACTAGATACTTCTGACTGTCAATGCTTGAGTATTTCCTTTCTGCCCACTGACAATTAATATTGGTGTCAAACTGACCACTTTTCCTGGCTCTCTCTTCACTTCTTCATTTTGTATATCATGGCTTAACATTTTTCCCCCACAAAACACAAATATGGCCATTACTTTTGGTAACTAACCCTTTAGCTTGGCCTGAAGTCTTTCTTAATCAATGAGATTGTTATGGATTGCAGTTTTTCTGAGTTTGGAGCAGCACTGGTTTGCTCACTCGATATTTGTTGAATTAAGAAAACCATCTCATGCTCCCGCATCTTGCTTGGTCAGGCACAGTGGTAGGACAGACAATTTATCTTCCCTAATCTCTTTCTCATCAGGTATGTCCTTTGTCATGCACAGCCTGTTCTCACGTATGGTAGAGTCACAGCTCATGTGACCATAAAGCTGGAACTAAATGTCTGAAATAGTTTTCTAAATTGTGTGATTATTTTTGCTCCAAAATATCTTGCTTCCTTTTTGGACTGTTGGCAGTCATTATTTTCTTCTTTTCTTCAGTTGGTTTTTACACATAAGAATGATTTTAGTCATAGATTATTGATCTTCTTTTATCCATCCTAATAATGTATATTCCTGACCATCCTTATCTCAGACGCCAGGTTTCTGAGTCCCAGAAAGGGACAGGAAGCCTGTCTCTTGATGATAGAAATTGGAGTCTTGTGATAACTTGCAAAGTATGACCAGGTAGATGAATGCCTATTCGCTGAGCCTGGGTCATTTGGACATAGAAGTGGTTAAGGATTATATCAAACTTTACACAATGTTTGAAACAATGTAAGTAACTTATCTCTTTTTTGGTTGCCGAAATTCACAAAGGATAAAATAAATTTATATAACTTATAGTTTTATAAGTTATATAAATTTATATTTAAAGTATATTTATTTATACTTTCTTTCCTTCCTTTTTCCCTGAGTTATTATCACAACTTTGTTACAAAATGTGATTTGGGAAAACAAATGTTAATGTTGTTTCAGACAAAAGATCAGAATGCTAAGATTTGGGACGCCTGGGTGGCTCAGTCAGTTAAGCGTCTGCCTTCAACTTGGGTCATGATCCCAGAGTCCTGGGATGGAGTCCTGCATTGGGCTCCTTGCTCGGCAGGAAGACTGCTTCTCCTTCTCCTGCTGCTACCCCTGTTTGTGTTCGTTCTCTCTCTCTCTGACAAATAAAATAAATAAAATCTTTAATAAAAAGAATGCTAAGATTTGTTTTTATGACAAATAAAAGCTGGAACTAAAAGGAGAATTCTGGAAAAGTGAATCCTCCAAGGATCAGAGATATTTTGTACATTAAGAAAGGGAGAGAAGCACATTAATGAATATAAGCAGGCACTATAACTGTGCTTATGCGAGTTACATGATCTAGCCTCTATTCAGCATGATCATAATATGTAGTGGATATTATTATTCCCGTTTTTTAACAAAGAAAAATTTCTCAGCTCTAAAGAGAAATGCTTGTTCATATCTATTTTACTTAAAAAATGGTACAAATAGAATATATGACATTTGAATGTACAGGGATAGGGATAGTTGCCCAAAGAATAACAAAAAAGAGAAATAAAAAATATTACTATATGTTTGAAAAATTTATTTTGGAAATTTAACACAAATGCAGAATTTTTAGTATAATATAAAATACTCATCATCCTCATGAACAGTTATGAATACATCAGTTTGTTTATATCACTTTCCATGTCTCTTCCTAGATTATTTTGAATCATATCCAATGAATCATCACTTTAACTGAAAATGCTTAGTAGGTATCCCTAGATAAAATGCACTCTTAAAAAACAACCACCATTATAAACCTAAAATAATACTCATTTTTACTGTGTTCAAATATCAACTTTTTATGTTTTTAAAATTTTTAAATTTTAAATATTTAAAAAAACTATGGTAAAAGATACAAAAAATAAAATTTACCACTTAAACACTTTGAAGCATATCGCTCAATGACATTAAGTACATTTATATTATTATGCAACTGTTACTGCTATCCATCTCTGAAACTTTTCATCAAATATCTATTTTTTAAAACTGTTTCAATCATCACACAAACAATTTACTTGTATTATGACTTGGAAAATGGCTCTTAAATATTTAATGTTTCAGTTTCCTTCTTTTTTTGTTTTATTGAAGAAAGCAATTCATAAATCTAATTAATAGACAGTAGTCTGAACACTGATGATTCTAGCCACCAGCTAGTTTCTTATGACTAGGTCTGTTTGGAGTTTTGATTATATTCATATTCAATTATTTTTGACAAGACTGCTTCATATAAAATCATGCATACTTCCATTCAAAGGTATGATGTTCAATTTTGTATGCCAACTTGACTGGGCCACAGAGTCCCCAGATATTTAATCAAATATTAATCTGGTTGGTCTGTGAGGGTATTTTTGGATGAGATTATGGTAAACTAAGTAAAGCAAACCACCCTCCCCAGTTTAGGTAAATTTTGTCCAGTTCATTGAAAGCCTGAATACAACAACCCCTGCCCTTCCCCACTGGCCCCATGAATAAGAGGAAATTCCTCCTTCCTGACTGGTTGAACTTGAATATTGATCTCTTCCTGTCTCCAGACTTGAACAGAAACAACAACTCTTCCTGGATTTCATGTCTGCTGACTTTCAGACTGGAATTTATACAATGCTTTCCTGATTCTCAGGCTTTAGGACTCAAACTAGAGCTGCACTATTTGATCTCTCCTGACATCTTGGACTTCTCAACCTCCAAATCATGTGAGTTAATTTCTTATAATAAATCTTTTTCTATATATATACATCCTGTTGGTTCTGTTTCTCTAGAGGGCACCCTGACTAATACAAGGGGCTATATGTATATCTGGCTGCCTTTGTTTTTGTGACATTTCCACTAATGATCATTGACAGATGATCTGTTATCTAAATAAGAATTCTTATTCTTATTTAAGAATAAGATTTTATATTAAGATATTAAGAATTCTCTATTCTGCCACTTAAATAAGAATTCCAAAACAATAATATTCTGATTTTTATTTATTAAAGAACTCATATAACTCAGTAGCAAAATAAAAATGAACAATAGGATTGAAAAATCGGCAGACGAACTAAATAGACAGTTTTCCAAAGAAGACACATAAATGGCCAAGAGACACATGACAGGTTGTTTAATATCACTAATCATCAGGGAGATGCAAATCAAAACCATAGTGAGATATCATATCACACCTGTTAAAATGGCTGGAATAAAAAAGACAAGTGGTAACAAGTGTTGGAGAGGATGTGGAGAAAAGGGAAAGCCTTGTGCACTGTTGGTAGAAATGTAAGTTGGTGCAGACACTCTGGAAAACAGAATGGAAGGTCCTCAGAACATTAAAAATAGAAGTACCCTATGATCCAGCAATCTTAATTCTGGGCATACATCCCAAAGAAATAAAAATAGGATCTCGAAGATGTATCTGTATTCCCATGTTCATTGCAGCATTATTTGCCATAGCCAGGATATAGAAACCACCTAAGTGTTCATCAATGGATGAATAGATAAAGGTGATGTAAGATATCTATATTATCTAGATGAGTTATGAAAAAAAATCTTGCCATTTACACTCATATATGACTCTTGAGGCCATGAAGCTAAGTGAAATAAGTCAGACAAGAGAACAGATAATACGGGGGTGCCTGGGTGGCTCAGTGGGTTAAAGCACCTGCCTTCGGCTCAGGTCATGATCCCAGGGTCCTGGGATTGAGCCCCGCATCGGGCTCTCCACTCAGCGGGGAGTCTGCTTCCTCCTCTCTCTCTCTCTGCCTGCCTCTCTGCCTACTTGTGATCTCTGTCTGTCAAATAAATAAAATCTTTAAAAAAAAAATAGAGAACAGATAATACATGTTATCTTTTAGATGCAGAATTGGAACAAAAATTCAAAATCATAGAAATAGAGTAGAAAAGTGGTTGCCAGGGGCTGCAGGGTGGGGGAAATAGGGAAAGGTTGATAAAAGGGTAAAAACTTTTAATGATAAGAAAAAAAAAATAAGTATATATATAAGAAGGTTAGCTTCTATTACTCTTCTTTTTTTTTTCCTTTCCTGGAAAAAGTCATGTAAATATATTTATGTTTTTTCTATATTTAAATATATTATTGATAGCATGCTACACATTCTATCTTGATTTGTTCAGTATAATACTTTGTGAAGAACACAGCATAGTATTATAAAAATGAAGTCATTTACCTGTAAAATTTAATGAAAACGTTTTTGAGGAATTAATGCTTGAAATTGGTCTTCAGAACCCACAACTGTCCATGGGAAAAAAAAAATGACAGGGTCAAAAATTTAGGAGAATAAATTTAGGAGACTGGAGATCAATTAGGAAGCTACTAGTTTTATCTAGATGAAAACATGAAAAATTTGAAATGGTTAGAGATGAAAAAGCACAAAGTTAGAATCGATGGTTTTGGTAAACTTCCAAGATGTGGGTAACAAGAGGGCATTATCTAAAATAATTTCAATGTTGCAAAAAAAGGTGACTGAAAGAATTATGGTGACATCAAGATAGGTAAGAAATGCATAAAACAGTATTAATTGAAGTTAGGATATTATACAATCAACATTCAAGGTTTAGTCTATTTTTTTGATATGTCTGCCATATTGTCTAGTAGTTTGTGAAAATGAAACACAAGACTTGGAGATCAGACCTGGACACATACAAATTGATTTGTATTTGGTTTACATAAAACAGGCAGTGATCACTATGAGACTGGAGAAAGTGCCAATGAAAGTAGTTTAAAGCTTGGAGTAGGCAGACACAAAAATAAGGGAGAGTGAAACAAATAAACCAACAAACAAAAACAAACCAACAAAGAAGCTTTATTTTTAAAAAGATTTACTTATCTATTTTAGAGAGAGAGTGCACTCAAGTGGGAGTTTAGGGGTGGGGGTCGGCCAGAGGGAGAAAGCAAGAGTCCTAAGCAGAGGCCATGCTGAGCCCCGAGCCCTATGCAGGGCTGGACCTGATGACTCTGAGATCAGAACCTGAGCTAAAACCAAGAGTCCATCACTCCGTCTACTCAGCCACCCAGGTGCCCCAGCAAAGCTTTAATTCAATACAAATAAGAAGAAAGACAGAAGCAAGTATTAGACTTCCAGATTTGATCAATATTTGAATAGAATAAACAATAAATTAATTTTTTTTAACAGGAGAAGCATACAAATTTAATTGATCTTTTAAATTTTACTTTCATGAAGACTACATGGAAAAGTAAAAACCCAAAAGAAGCTGTTAGGCTTAGAAGCTTATATACTGTTTTAACAGAGAGTGATAAAATGTGAACCAAATAGGCAAAGAAAAAGGGGCTTGAGCTTATAGAGGTGGCAAATTGGGGAAAAGTAAATATATGGGCAAACTGATGGAGAATAAGGGTTATTTTAGTAAGGTTTATTTATGCAGATTCATCTCAGTGCCATCTGTTTCTGGTAATAAGGGTTATTTTCCTCTTCCTAGTACAGAAGAGAGGGGACACCTTTACAAATGAAAATTTGTGTCACTTTTCTTTTTTTAATTTTATTTTTTATAAACATATATTTTTTCCCCCAGGGGTACAAGTCTGTGAATCGCCAGGTTTACACACTTCACCCCACTCACCATAGCACATACCCTCCCCAATGTCCATAATAACCCCAACCCCCTCTCCCAACCCCCCTCTCCCCAGCAACACTCAGTTTGTTTTGTGAGATTAAGAGTCACTTATGGTTTATCTCCCTCCCAATCCCATCTTGCTTCATTTACTCTTCTCCTACCCCCTTAACCCCCCATGTTGCATCTCCTCTCCCTCATATCAGGGAGATCATATGATAGTTGTCTTTCTCTGATTGACTTATTTTGCTAAGCATGATACCCTCTAGTTCCATCCACGTTGTCGCAAATGATAAGATTTCATTTCTTTTGATGGCTGCATAGTATTCCATTGTGTATATATACCACATCTTCTTTATCCATTCATCTGTTGATGGACATCTAGGTTCTTTCCATAGTTTGGCTATTGTACACATTGCTGCTATAAACATTCGGGTGCACGTGCCCCTTCGGATCACTACGTTTGTATCTTTAGGGTAAATACCCAGCAGTGCAATTGCTGGGTCATAGGGTAGTTCTATTTTCAACATTTTGAGGAACCTCCATGCTGTTTTCCAGAGTGGTTGCACCAGCTTGCATTCCCACCAAC